TCTTATCTAAACACTACCGATATTATTATTGTACGTCGAGGCGACAAAGATTATAACTGCCAAATAATGGTAGGCCAAGTTGACCATTCACCCATTACCTCTATCCCACTAAAAAATGCACCTATTGCAGATTCGCAGGTGCCAAAGAGCACCGTTCCTCAAGTGCTCATAGTCTAAGAGCGATAACGAAAATCGACTAATTCCTGAAATTTAATTTTAATAATTTATGATGGAAGTGGTTGCATTGGTTGATTCTGGTGATTTAAGAAAAAATTATTTTTAAAATATATTTTATTAATAAAATAAGGAAAAATTATTTCAACATTATTTTTTCTTATTATTACATAATTCAGCGTGCGAAAACAAAAGTTACGTGTTTGGTGAAAACATGGTTGATAAGCCTGATAAGCCGAAAAACAGTGTTACCAAACGTTCTCTAAATTGCAAGTGACCCATATTTCTCTATTTATCTTTAAATTTGAGAAAACAGAAAGGAAACACCAGGTAAAAACTAGTATTAATACTCATTATTTTTAGAAATAAAGTCAAGCAGATCCGTGTACTATTCTCATCTATCATTTAAGTCCTACTAAAAAGTCAAAGCGCAATGTATAAACAAATTTACAATTAAAATAGAATCAATCAAGTCATTTTGATATGCTATAGAAGCTTATTTTTATTTAAAAAATAGGTCTGCTGATAAATCTTATAAAAATCGCATAAATTTTAAAAATATGTAATGATAAGTCAATTTGGTCCTTTCTACTATCACAAAAAAGTCAAGTAGGTTCTTGTACTTTTAAAAAAATAAATCAAATCCTTGAACTTTGTAAAACCTTCAATTGAGTCAATTTGCAAGTTACTTGTCATGTCGTCGGGTTACCTGCTAATGTGGCACACGTGTGGCTGCCCAATCAGCAATGACTTTGCTGACATTGCGCACATGTGGAAGTTCAGACGACCATTTGCTGATAATGTGGTGTTCACGTGGATTGCCACGTGTGCATCACGTCAGCAAGAGAATTGCCGACATGGAAAGTAACGCCCAAATAGACACAATTGAACGCTTTTACAAAGTTTGAGGATTCAATTGATTTTTTACTTTTTTTACTTGCAAATGGACCTAATTGATTTTTTTTGTGATAATACACGGATCTAATTGACAGTTTTTCCTATAAAAATAGTATAGATTTGAAAATAGATAAATACTTTTAAACCATTAAAATGAAAATAAAATCAAAAAATTGAAAAAATAAATAAAAAAACATAGGAGTTTTTTTTCGGATTAATGTGAATTAATTAATTAATTACGGAATTAATGTTGGGTTAATTCTATTAACCAATATACTGTTGGCCTTAACCTTGGTCGGCCAATTCTTCCTCCTGTGCCGTTCGGGGAGGTGGGGGCGCTGACCTCAGCCCCCCATATTCTGGGGTCTTGATCGGAGGAGGGGCAACTGTGTTCGCCCTCCTCCGGATAAAACGTTCCCCTTCCCGCTCGACTTATTGGAAATGCTGCCCTACGGTATCCACCATGGGAGTGGCTTCCCGGTATTGGGCCTCGCCCCTCGGGGCAAACGGGGTGCGGTCCGCCGGAGTCTGCTGTCGCGGACGCCGAGGAGTGCGGCCTCTCCACTGATTCCCCCAATGAGCCTGGGAGTGTGCTGAGGCGGTGGTGGTTTCTGTATCGTCCTCTTCGAATGATGGCATAGGGCAGATGGGAGAGGTTCTTTCATACGTATCAGCAGTGTAAGGGGTTCCTCCCCTCTCTTGCTCGTCCGTCAGTCGCTGCATGGCGGCAACCATCTCCCTCATCAGCCGAGGGTTCCTCCTCATCTCGTCGGGGATGGCCTCCTCGAGGTGATATGAGGCACTTCCCCCGCTGTTCCCCTGCGTGGACCAGCCCCCATATGACCCTTGATCCCCCGACCTCTGATCGCGGAACTGGGCGTTGCGGTGCTGATTCTGACCATCCTGAAGAAGTAGTGCTTAAATAAAAAAAGGTTTGCTCAGGGTTTTTGTTCAAGAGTTTCCCACATACGGCGCCAATGTTGAGGTTAGGTCCCGTGGATCCAAAAGCCCAACACACGCTTAGGATATATGGGGATGTGGGTCTTGGTTGATGGGTAAAGAAAATATAAAATAGTGAAGTAGAAGCGGACTCAAGAGCCGAGCTTGTACTAATATCGTAAGTATGAAGGACTACCCGAACAGCTTACAGAATAGTGAATTAATACAAGAATAGAACAGTAAATCTCTCTCTAAGCTCTGAGTATTCAAATGCCCACCTTTTACAATGAATTAAATGCTCCTATTTATAGTAAGGAGTAGTAGGTGAGAAGGACACGTGGCGGAACCCTATTGGCTTCTGTCTTTCCCGCCATGTTCCCACTTGTTCCTGCCATACTCTAGTATTAAATGCGGTTGCCACTTGCTGGTGTGGTGCTTGATGTATTGTCCCATGTAGCTGAATTATCCCGAACGCCGGTCAGGTACCCCTGTGTGAGGCGTGGCCCATACCCGTATGGTGGCGCCCTTGCGGGTTTCCCTCAAGTAGACTAGGTGGCCTGAATAGTGTTCGGGGGTCTCGAACAGGATGCTTCGCACCGCTTTGGCCCGAATGTTTCTCTTGGGCTTTCTCCCATTATGGATCGGGGATATTGAGCCTAGACCCAGTATCCCAACAAAGTGTTTTAAGCCATATGAGCTTAAATGTGACTAATGCCCTAGTACAATACATTTAAGAATCTTACTGACCATTCTAAGAGATTGAGTTGCCCCTATGTTGCAAAGGTGGAATATCTGTCAACATGAGAACTTTGAAACTTTTCCAATTTACTTGCAAATTGAGCCCCTAATGTAGACATCTTCTTAATCTACCTAAATATTCAGATTGTAGGCATCTTCTATCTATAAATCTAACTCATCACACTTACTGCAAATAAATAATTTGCCCATCTAATCAGATGATTGCGATACAATATGCCTCTTGTGATGAGGCTCTTGAGTGACAAACCCCATATTAATTTTCAATTGCAACGAACAGTCAATTTTAACCGATTTCACTAACTGCATAACTGAATCAACCACATCATATTGCCAAAAGCGCTTGCTTCGGAGTTTAAGAGCTAAGCGCGAGCGAGCGACATGCTTAGCTTCACATCTTGTATTTCTAGACTTAGCTCCCAAAAATACATGTAATTCCTATTTATCCATGCATTTTAAAGTTTATTTAGTCCTTGTTGCTATGCAGTCATTATGTTTTTTTTTGCGGGAAGCAGTCATTATGTTTTTTATATCTTGGATGTTCACTGTGGACTTGTGGTGGCGCTGGCTTTAGCTACCGTCGACTATTGCTATGTCTGCCTCAAAGGAAAAGCTAGCGACTGGGGAGATGGCTTTAAGAGTGCATATTTTCAGCTTGGTTTACATAGCCTATGCTCTCTGGAGGTACAAATGCTTACACTAAAGAGTACTTGCACATTTATTTCACACTTATTATTATTTGGCGTTTCTCACTTCACATCTCTCCCATGCATGTTTCTGTTATTGGATGCCATTGTCAAACACTGTCATATACATATTGAATAAATGTTGCAACCTTGACTGAGCAGATGAAAACTGGAAGCTTATATATCTCTTTGTGTAGGGGAAATCTTCCCATCATGTCTTCCTGATGATTGTGGTCCAGAAGGCTTAATACCACCCTCGGATTACGTCAAACGTCTAAGATGCCTCCTACATCTATTGGAATGTAAAATGGGTTGTTTTCCATTCAGAGAGTAGTTCACCAACTAACAAATGAGATTAATCTTTTAATATAGCAACTCAACTACACCCTAAAAACTGGTAACATTTATCCCTAGTATTTTGCCGGCCATTGGGCAAGCTTTCAGAGAATGTACTTTGTCATCCTAAACTTGCTGACTTTGCCAACTGTATGAAGAAAAAAGGAAGGGGGATGCCCATATTTTTTTCCATAATGGATGGAGATTACCATTAAAGTGCTGAGGTTGCCAAGGTAGCTTGTAAGCAGCTAAGTGCTTACCTTGACTACAAGAATTGTGAGGGTGAAACTGAAATCATCATCGCCCCTAACATGATTGAAGGCTTCAGAGGCATAGTCCTGACTATGAGCCTCAGAAATCTCAAGCCCAATATAATCGTAATGCGATACCCCAAAATTTGGCGCCGTGAAAGATTGACCGAAATTCCTGCCACCTTTACCGGGTAATAATTGACTGCATTGTAGCAAACAAAGTTGTTGTTATTGTCAAGGGGCTGGATGAGTGGCCTAACGAGTATCAAAGGCAGTTTGGGACAATTGATTTTTATCGGATCGTGAGAGATGGAGGGCTTATTGTTCCTTCTTTCTCAGCTTCACCTAACTAAAGAGAGCTTCGAGGGTTGTAAGATTCAGGTTTTCTGCATAGCCGAGGAGGATTCCGATGCCGAGGAACTCAAGGCTGAAGTGAGGAAATTCCTTTATGATCTACGAATGAGGAAATTCCTTTATGATCTAGGAATGCAGGTTGAGGTCATTATCATCTCAATGAAGTCATGGGAGGAGCAGCAGCAAGAATCGATGGAGGCGTTTAGTAGTGCATGAGAACGACTCTCTAACTACGTGGCGGAGATGAAGGAGAAGGCTCAAGGACGAGGTCCGGGGGAGTCATTTGATGGCCGATGGGAAGAGCATGGTTGTGAACGAACAGTCGAACACCAGGTCCAAAAGTTCTTACACACGACATTGAAGTTCTTACCCCCACCTCTCAACTCAACTGGATTTCGGTTTTTAATCAATCAATTTTAGTGACTTCTAGAACACGTGAAACCGAGAATCGGGCAACAAAATATGAGTCATTTCGGTTTTAAACGATTTCAATTTTTAAAGAGTCGGTTTTGGCCGATTTTTAACCCAGAAGTATAAACTGTAAATTGAACCAACGAATTAGTCCATTTCGGTTGGTTTAGGTTTTAGTTGGTTAGTATCAATCAGTTTATCGGCAAGTTTCGATTTTTAGGCTTTTTTATTCACCCTTACATTTTATAGGGTTTAGACCCACGTGTACACCAAAATAGGGATTGATTCATTGAATTCACAGGACACACTTAATATGAAAAACTCGAGGTGCACTTAAAATTCATTTAATATGAAAGTAAATAATTCACAGTAACAATCTCACAGTCCTGAAAATACAAACCATCCCTACCTAATACTCATAAGTCATAACAAAGTTCATCAGAGAAAATGGAGTAAAAAATTGCTCATAAATAATGCTGGCGCAGTCAATGATGTTCTCTTTCAGGCTTTCAGGGTCACACTAGGGAACTCGCAATTTCCATAACCTGTACAGAAGATAATGGTTATTTAAACAACCCCACTTGTCTGGATAACATTAAAAAGAACAAGAATAAATATGCAGAACCATTAGGTGACTGAATAAATATGCATATACCCATGAAAAAATCCAAAACAAAAATATCAAGGATCACTCGTCTTTAGGAGAAAATTGGAAAGTCTGTCGATAGGCGGCAGATGGGGTAGAGTGATCTGAGGACAACAACTTCAACTCTATATGGTATTTTTGTTCAAACACAAATACACAAATAAATAGTCTTATTTTGTCTTATCAAGGACACTCGTCTTATTTTATTTAGAATAGAAGTTGATATGCTTTGGAGAGTTCCTCCACAGAATAAATGAGTGTAGAATACTAATGCCCTTTCAAAAAACACTACTACTCCGTATGAGTTTGATTTATCCAACTCATTAATTTATCTTTGAAGAAATTCCACCGCTAGTCCTCCGAGTTTTGTACCAATTCCACAATTAGTTCACATCTTTCATTTTATCCATTTTTGGTACATAGGTATTATTTTCTTGACCATATATACTCCTTTTCCGGTAGTTAAAATGTCCAGAGATGAACCAAAAATGGTCAAGAAGACAATAGTCAGGTACCAAAATGGATAAAGTAAAAGACGAGGACTAAATATGAAAATGACAAAACACTGAGGATCGAAAGTGGAATTAATTCATTTATCTTTTATGTTTGACATCGAAATATTTTAACTAATTTATGGTAATTTACGAAGGGTATCATAAAAACTTGTCAAAATTTAATCAGTGTGAAGGGGTCCAGAAAATTGAGAAATAGAAGTAAAATGACATATTTGGGTGCTTACGTGGATCGGTTTTGGTCTGAACTGCAAGACCGTTGAAATAACAGCTCCCACCTAAACTCTTGAACTGGGCCCAATATGAACTAAACGCGTAGCTGGCCTGCAGTTCTAATGACTTCGACCCGTAACACGCTTTCCCTTTTTGGAGCAGGTCGCAGGTCCGATTACCCTGCCCGCAAGCCCATGACAGAGCTTCACCCACCGCCGTCCGATTCGCCCCGGGAGCAACCACGCACCAAATCTTCCCTTTGTACAGCTCGTTGTTCGTCGGCTTTGGCAGCGGCTTGAATTTGGATTCCGGCGTCTTCCCGGAGAGATCAATCTCGTACACGCTTGTCCTGTTCGGGTAAAACAGCCCGAAATGCCTCTCCGTACCCGGACCCGTTTTCTGGTTCTCATTGTACAAGGCGAAGATGAAAGCCGGGATCGCCGCTCCCGGTCTCGACGGCGTCCCAAAACCGGAAGTCAACTTTTTGACCACATTCCGGTTGTAAGTGGCAGCATTGTAAACACTCCCACCGATTTGGTCAAGGTCGCAGTCATTGGGCCAACCCGTTTCCGCAAGAAAGATCCGGACATCCATGTACCCGAGTCTATCCATGGCGAAGACGACCGCATCAAGCATTTGGTCCAGCAAATTGGTGTAAGTCAAACCCGAACCCGGGTCGGTGTATGTGAAGCTCGTTTTCTGTAACAGCGCGTAATCGAGCCGGATCTTATCGGGCTGACCCGCCCAGGGGAAATACGGGTATGCGTCAATGAAGAAGAAAGACTTGGTCTTGTTCAGGAAATCCAGCAACGGTTTGATAACCGGGCCGGCAAGGTCGGACCGGAAGGTCCCATTGGAAGGTGGGTAAGAAGATTCCAACATATCCATGGCTAAAGGGGTCCCGACCTTGACCTTCTTCAGCCGGAATTTGTTGACCGAGCGCCGGATTCTCCACATCGCCGGCACGAGCTGGAACCAGGTGGAGTTGGGTTGGTTGCTTAGGATTTCATTCCCGACGAGGATGTAACGAATCTTGGTCTCATTATAGTAAGGGACCACATTGGTCTTGACCCATTTATCTGCTTCGGGTTGATGGGAATAGATATTGGGTATGACCTGGTTGGGGACCATGATGGAAACCTGGATGTCGGTGTTTCTCAGGGCCTTGAGGATATCCGGGTTGGCGTCGTATAACTTGACCCGCTTCGCTTTGAGCTGACGGATCACGTCCAGTGACCCGGTCGGAGTTGGGAGGTTGTTGCCCAGCTGGCCGTAGCATAAGCCGACTATATTAGATATATTCGCATCTGCAATTAAAATAAAGCAGTGATTATTAACAGAAAAGCTTATATTAAGCTATTAATGATTATTAATTGTGGTCGGAGCTTACCGGAGAAGGAAGGGAGGGCGAGGAGAGAACAGAGCAAAAACAAGGGAAGTGAAAGCAGAGCCATATCTTGGTTGGGAAGAAAGGGGGAGAGATAGAAAAAATAATGGAAATGTTTGAATGATAAATAGAGGGTGGCACTGTGACTGCGAGCCGTTGGGGGTAGGGTAGTGGGGAACAGAGAAGCGTAAATAGAGTAGTAAATTTAACAAAAGTTACTATAAATTCGCATCTTTTCTCTCTTTTAAGAGAAAGCTCAAAAGTTACACAAAAGCCTATGTTTTCACCCGTGGGTTGGTAGAAATAAATTCAACGGGTAAAAGGAAAACAACGACAAAAAATGTACGGAGTAGCATGGATTAATTAAAGAGAAATTACCCTAAATAGGAGTAAAAACGTTTTCAAATTCTAAAATAGGAGTATCATGTTTTTTATTCCCTGAATAGGAGTAATCTGTCAAGTTTGGGAAAAAAATGACATGTTTAAAGCATTGTAATGCCAAACTTGGCAGAAATATATTCTTATTTAGGGAATAAAAAACATGATACTCCTATTTTGGAATTTCAAAACATTTTTACTCTTATTTAGGAAATTCTCTTAATTAAACTAATTAGTAGCATTGTCATCCTAATTTATTTTTGAAAATTGATATTTTTTTGTCAAGTAAAATCCTTTCTATCGCTAAATAATTTAATTTTAATAACTAAAATTTATATATTTAAAAATTACAATAAATCTGTGTAAAGTTCCAAATCCAAATTAAAACTCAATTAAGAATTTATATCAAAATGAATAAAATGGAATTGTTTGATCCAAAGAAATCAAATTTGCAACTTAATTTGGAACAGAATGAGTATATTTAGTCAAAATAATTAGTATCTCAAATTACTTCTATGTTTTATGTTTACGGTTAAAACAATAGTTTGTTTATGGGTTATTTTCATCATCTGTATGGTGTTATTTCTATACAAAACTTTATTTCGTATTTAGAGTTTTTTTCCTACAATTCTCTACACAAAATTAATACACAACTTCTACACAATCCCGTTAGTTGTCTGTGTATATGTACAATATAATTCATTTGAAAAATGACAAAATTTTATACCAAAATGTCTGAATACATTGTACAATTTGTGTACACATGTTATGTATGGTAGTGGGGAACAGAGAAGCGTAAATAGAGTAGTAAATTTAACAAAAAAAAAAAAAGTTTACGAGAAAGCTCAAAAGTTGCACAAAAGTTTACTATACTTTCAATAATTCTACTTTTTTATTGTGTGTGCCTATTCTATATGTACTTCCAATACTTCTACCTTAGGAATATGCTTATAAAATTTCATAAAAAAATTCCACCGGGAACCACCTTAAATAAAAAAAATGCTAAATATTTCTACATGTTCGGTTATGGTCGGTTTTTCGGTTACCGACCGAAACCGAACTTCGGTTTTTCGGTCGGTTAGAGTTATACTATCGGTCGGTTATCGGTCGGTCATTCCAATTAAAATTTTTGGTCGGTTATTCGGTTATCGGTCGGTTATTTGACCGACCGACCGAATGCTCACCCCTAGATCTCGTCAGGTGTGATTGATTAGAACCGTCGTACGGGCGAGCGTGCTTGAGGAAATTTCCAATCGAATTGTTTGAGAAGATTTTATCAATATGTTCTTTATCAAGTGTAGATTATCTCCACAAAATTTGAGCTTAAAATTCAATAGAAAAGTCAGTTAAATGAATTATTGAAACATATTGTGCTTTATGAATATATATATATATATATATATATATATATATATATATATATATATATATATATATATATATATATATATATAAAGCACAGTACATTTTAATATTTATTTAACTGACCTCTCAATTGAATTTTAAACTGAAATTTTGTAGTAACATGATGAAATTAGGTGATCAAAACAAAATTCACTCTTTTTTGTTCTCTTAACTTAGAAGCAGTTTCAAAAAGTTTCATTTTAGACAGAAATTAGATCAGCCTCTCAAACTCTTCAAATTTGAGGAAGCACGTTGGAAGAAACAAGGGCATACGATCACCTACAAAGTGTGAATTGAGAGCAAAGAGAATATTTTTCCTCCAACATTTTGACTTTTTGAGCTACTTTGTGGCTAACTAGATTCGTCCCCGCGCGATGCGCGGATGAATATTTACCAAATTTGTGATTAAGAAGCCTATTATTAAAACGCAAAAAGCATTGAACACAAAATAAAGTGATAAGTAATATATTAAATGTTCGTAGTTAAAGAGAGATTGAGACGGCGACGAAGATGGGCCAACGTAATATTTTTTGCAAAGACAAATGTATCCAATAAAAAAGAGACAACATTTCAAAGTATGAAGTGGTAAAATAAAACTTTAGAAGTTGCAACGTAAATGATACTACAAACTCTGAAAGACTTCTTTATAAACAACATTAATAGTATCGTCGATCTGTTTGCCATCCTCATCACAGATCAATATTTTCAGGCCTTTGCGATTGGTAATTCTAGACGCTGCAACGTACAATTGACCATGAGTGAAAACTGATTTTTTCAGCTTGTGCGTGACCATCCTTTATAAGCAACATCTAAAAATTTATAATATCTTAATGAGCATGAATAAAAAAGAAAGTATGAAAAACTTTTAGATACATACAAAAAAAAGAAATGATATCAAGCTTTAAAATATAGGAGGAGTATATTTTTTATACTACCTCCGTTCTTTTTTAATTGCAACGTTGGAGTTTTTGTATTATTAACATATTCTATTTTAACAATATTTTATTTATTAATGTATTATAAATTAAAAATTTTAAAAAAATTATTAAATTGTTCTCATTTTAAATTTCAAAATCTATTTTTTAAATTTTTTTACAAATAAGCAATGAAATATATTTTTGATCAAACTTGTACATTGTCAAACGTGAAAAATGAACTGTTACAATTAAAAAAAAAAGGAGAAAGTATATATTTTTAAAATCACAGAACTTCATAATTTGAGTAATATTAACAAACGATATTATTAACCAACTTAATGATATTATAAACCTTTGACAACAAACATTTTATACAGGCCAATTTTAACCAGTTTTACATGGCCCAATTAAATTCAACTGAGCCCAACACCTTAAGTTAGACGTACCCAACAACCCAAACCTATCCGTTCTTGTATAAATAACGTTTTACCCGGCGTCTTTATCATTTACCCATCAGACTCCTTAATTAACCGATAATTGCATCTTCTTGTTCCTTCGATCGGTTCATTCTCTGTCTATGGGCAATTAACCCCTCTTTGATTCTCACCATTCCTCTTCGTACATACATAAGCTCAGTCTCCGAGTATGGCGACTGTCGCCTTTAATTCGACGACATAGCTGTTTACCGCATCGGTTTAGTGTATTTGTTGTACGATGTTGCCCTTTTCTGACCATGGCATTTGGCTACAACGGCTGAGTGATAATCAAGGATCTCAGACCGAGCACGTTGTTTCATCAGTTTATTATATACTATCCTGTCCCACTGCTTGTATTAAATTTTGTTCAACAAAGATATTTTTCTAAATGTTTATACGATTTCAAGCACATAGAACCTTTTATGAAATTAAACAAATTTATTAGATCTGTATGTTTTTATTATTATTTTAAGACATGCATTGAGATCTATATGTTTTTACAGTGTTGCTGTAGTCTCTTTTATCTGATCTTGCCATTTCCGACCATTTTAAAGGTCTAAACGACTGAGTGATAATCTATCTCAGACTGAGGATCTGATTTCTTTTTATTCACCTTTGTTTTGGAACATTTAACTTTATCAAAACTAAGATGGTAGTATATTTTTAAAACATTTTGTGTATCTTTGTATATAAAATAAGTTGTGCATTCATCTGTTTTTGTATAACAAAAGTAGTCAAAAAAGTAATTTGAATTACTACCCTCTTTGTTTCAGAGTTCATTATCTGAACTCTGAAGTGCTTCCAAAACTGGTTGTGGCACAAATTATCTGGTTTGCGTATTAATATATATCTGGGGAAGAGTTTGTAGCTTATTAAAAGGTCAAGCTTGTTTAACATCATTCTTGTTGAATCAAATCTGACACTTCAAGTTTGGAGTTTCAGACACCAAATTCACATTTTAAGTAGTCTAAAAAAATAAAATAGTTTGTAAGGACTATGTCATGTGAGGTCCAATTTAAACAAAAACTAAAAGAGAAATTTAAATATAAAAATGTTCATATTATTTGTTTTATTTATAACTATTCCTACGTTTTTAGCAAAAAGATGAACCTATGTATTTACCTCGGTTGTTTCGGATAAAAAATCTGAGCCTCTGACCTCTAAATTTGACTGCGCCTAGTATGTTCGCACAACTCTCTCCCCTTACTCGCTCAAGTTGCTTATTGTTTTGTGGAATTTCACTCGTATTGCATCCATTCTTATAGCAGATTGACGAAGTGTTAATTTACATTTATCTCTTGGACAATAAGGTGTATCAATTTAAAAAACTGAGATCTAAAACTGTAAATGTGTGATTTGACATTTCGCTACTTTCTTGGTTAATACATAGTACGGAGTACAAATTAAGTCTGCTCATTCGACTAATCAATCATATCAAACAGTAAACAAAAAACATATCTTTTGCAAAACCTTTTTGTATACGCATAAAGACTAAAGTAAAGATCTGCATTTAATACTGCCTGGCTTTTGTTTACTAAACATTAAAGTCGCAGTACTATTTTCTCAGCCAAAGACCCAAACCCATTACCTCAAACCCGACCCTACTATTGAACCATGACTTTAGGCGGGAAATTTGCCAGGATTTCCACAGCGGTTTGTATATAGAGAGATATTTATGCCTTCCTACTGTCTATAGGTTCTTTACAAGCTCTCAAACTCTAGACAGCCTTTATGCAGACTTTTGAAACACGTTAAAGCTTTAATAATAACCCCATTCTGAAGTTGTCGAGATAGGATCCTGCTCCTATGCCTTGCTTTGTTTGGCAAACAATGAGGATGTCTTGCCATTTTGGACCCTAAGATAAAAAAAAAAATCAATGACATAAGATGAGTGATCCATTTTTCGCTCAAATTTTGAAGCCTGAATTTTAATCCCTTTCCTCCCTTTGAGTATGGTACTCTATTTTTGAGTCTCCCGTAAGGCCAAAGATATCAATCCAGATATTTCGATACCTTTCAAAAAGTATCCAGTTTTTTTTCTCTCTTTTATCATTTGAAGGTTTGATTTGTTTTGGGAAGTGAATCTAGAGTAGATTTTGAAAAAGCCATTGTCATAAGTAATTGAATGTTGAATAAATGTGTAATGAATAATGTTTTAATAGTTCCGTGAGGTACTCAAGTTGTATTTAATATTTCAGATTATGTATTAGGCCAAAAACTAATTATTTTTCTTCTTTGTTTTAAGGAGACAATGTATTGGTAAATTCTAGGAGGCGAACCATATGAACTACTCCGTATGTAATTTAATTTTTTCCCATACTTTTAATCTGTGCACTTGAACACTATTTTATTCAATTGAATAGTGATGGTTCACACGGTACATATTGAAAGGAAAAAGGTACTAGAAAAAAAAGGTAAACTAGTAATATGGAGTAACTAGTAAAAGCTAAATACAAAAGCAGAACTGAGTTTTTGGTGTTCGGAGTTATTTTATACGTAGTACTCCGTATTTAAAATTATAGATAATATAATTTGATGAAACAACTCTACACATACATCTTTTCGATAGCAAAAATTAGTGAATGAATTGAAGTAAAAATAAAGAAGTATTCCGAATTATATTAGTAGCGTACACATTAAAATTTATAGTGCTCATAGGAACCCTTTGAAATGTAGAGACGTTTTCTTTTACACTATTTTTAATCCCAGACCAGACTTAAACAGACCAAATCAGACCAGACTTAAACATACTAGAGACCAGACCAGACTTCCGTAGTTAGAAAATACACACAGACCAGACGTTTACCAGACCAGACTTAAACAGACCAGAGCAGACCAGCAAATTTCAGTCCAAAAGAAAACATCCTAGTTCAGCTACGCATACGACATTGGTACGACTGAAATCTATCCCACATTCAAATTTTGTGTTTAGTATTTCTTAGAGAAATGTCTACAAAAAACATTAAATTTACATTATGGAAAAAAGTTCAAATAAGCTATTGTACTATTTCCAAACCGTCACTTAAGCTCTTGTACTAAAAAAAGTACTCCCTCCGTCCCCTTTATATTGTCCCGTTTTACCTTTTCGGGATGTCCCTTTTAAATTGTCTCATATCATATTTGATAAAATTTGTGTGGTTCTAAATCATTCTTACTTTATTCTTACTTTATCAATTAATATCAACCACACAAACTCTATTTTCTTAATAATCGTGTCACCCTCTTCCGTCCCAATATAAAAGGGACAGAGATAGTATCATATAAGTACGTCTACTTTAGAAAATGGATCCATTTGACCATTTAATCATCTTTTGACCTATAATAGAAGGTTTTTAATACTTAAAAATTCTAAAAAATTGTTAAAATTTGAAAAAATATATACAAATTTTATTTTAAAAATTCAGAATATCAAAGTCAATACTCCTATTTTTTAATTTGTAAAAATATTCGTATATTCGATATCTATTTAAAAGGTTTTTAAAGTTTTTATTTTTTTTTTTATTTTTTTATTTTCACATTATGTTTTCAGTTTTATATTTTTTTTACTTTAATGTTTTTAAAATTTTAAATATTTTTTACACTTATACTATTTTTATATTATTATTAGATTATTTATTCAAATTTATATGAATTTTTGTAAGATTTATCAATATTCCTAATTTAATTTTTTTAAAAATAACCTGATATAGCAGGTCAAAGAGCTTGATTGATTGTATTTTAAAAGTAGGTGTACTTATATGATACGGAGTACTTTTTTAGTACATGAGTTTAACCGGAAATAGTACAAAGACTTATTTGAACGTTTTTCCTTACATTATTATTGGGTAAAGTTTTAGTAAAAACTTTATATTCCATCCTCTATAATATCAACAACTTCCTTTACATTGTTCCCTTTCATTACATCAACAACTAATCAGTAAACGTAATTATCTACTCCTTGTTCTTGCTCAACTTCACTACTCCGTATAAGAGCTGTGGTGTTGTTCAGGAAAAGGTGAGCAGATCCTAATCGAGTAATGGCGAATAAATAGACCTTTTCTTCCGCTTTTGTTAATTTAGGAAAGCAAAGGTGTAAAGAGGGGAAAGGGAAAAAGGATTGTTTCCACTAGAAGGAATCGGATGCTCAGGATGGTGAGCAGTTGAAAACAGGTAAACAGCTCGAAGGTATCAAGGCATCTTCACTAATCTTACCCACTACGCCATTACAGTACATTCCATTTCACATTAGACCGGATTAAATCAGATCAGATCAGACTAGCTAGATCACAACAGACCATACTTGGATAATTATAAAATACACGGAGACGAGACGTTTACCAGATCAGACTAGACTAGTTCAGACCAGACCAGATCACCGAACTAGACCGACAAATTTCAATCCGAGTAAAAAACATCCTTTCTTTCACTTACTCAATCCATCCCTTAAAAATTTGTCTAATATGATCAGCACAAAAAATATGAAGTAAAAACTATGTTGTTGAAATTTGTGCAGAAAAAAGAGAAATAAAAGAAATCACATATTAATTGAATAAGGGACATAATGACTCTACTATGATTTCAGTGAAAATAAATAAACACAGAACTATCACTATGAGCATCTCCAATACTAAGCTTTTAACATTAAAAAATTTGTGACATCTCTTTAATTAAAGATGTATGGAATGTCAATACACATGAGATGAATGTTGAAATTCAAATACTGAAATCCATAAAAACCTCTCTGTTACATTTATATTGATGGCCAGACTTTGAGAACCTAAACTGTACACCTGATTGTACGATGCTCACTCTACATTCGGATATTTTATCTTACATGTAATGAGTATTACATTTAAAAGAAATGAATATTGATACGTGTATACAAGTGTACACGTATCAATATGACCTAGCGAGAAGAGAGTAGCTACCATGGCGACTACATCTCCTCACTCCTCAATCATTAATCCTCATTTTTCAACTGCATCTCTGATTGGGTAAAGTACGTAATAACCTACCTCCTCCTCCTCTCATACACGTAATAAGTTTCAATCACACACGCAGTGTTCCAAAAGACGTGACAAGGCGTCCAAGTCAAACCTCAAGTCTTTGAAGTCTAGGCGAAAATTTGCAAGACCTAGGTGTGAAAAGCCGTTTTAGATTTCTAAGGATAATTACTACTATCTCTGTCCCGCTAAAATTGTTTCATTTTACCTTTTCGGTCTGTCCCACTAAGATTGTCTCATACCAAATTTGGTAAGGTTTGTGTGGCTCTAAATCATTCTTACTTTATTCTTACTTTATCAATTCAATATCAACCACATACACCACTTTTTATTAACTTGCGTGTCACTCTCTCTTGTCTCATTGTTAGTGGGACGAAGGAAGTAATTTTTTAGTAATACTTGAAGAAAAGAGATTCGATGTTTAAAAAAATATGATAGAAGATTGAGTTTAATTTTTACTTTCTTCAACATATATAAATTTAAATGTATAAAAACTGCGAATACAAAATGATTTTTTAGGAGGCTTAAATCGATATCACAGAATTCATCTAGGGAGCATAAAGACAAAAGGACCACAAGAACCCGTCAAGTCTCAAATCAGACTTAGAGTCAACCACCTCCAAAGAAGCAATATGACTCGCTGATCCTATAATGGACATAAATGAGCCAAAGACACTTAAAGCAAATCTCTCATCACTCAATCTTAATGCAAGAGTTTTATAAAAAAGGAAATAAAATGTGGAAATAAAAACAGTCTGATTAAGGTAAAAAGCAACAATAAAGACAGTATAATTAAACTTTTGTTTGGTCCTCGAGAACACAAGAACTAACCTTCCATGCTCCAGACCAATAGAGTCTTCATTAAAATTCCCAGTGGGTTTGGTGTTCGGGACCCACTGCCTCCCCTTTTTGGCTTGTCTAGAGTCATACTATCATCGTTTGGATCCTCCTGTTTCTGCTCCTCCCATAGCCTCCTACGCTTCTTGTCACCCGACACCTCCTCGATACTAACTGAACCCCCTTCCCCAATTGTGCACTTCCCTGGATCAGTCTTAGCAACAATTCAGCTCTGTCTCCCTACTCCCATTCCTTCATCTCTGCTTTGGGAATCATTCTGCTACAATACAAAATAATTTATTATTTTTTATTACTCCATATTAGAAAAGTGATTTTTAAAATGTAATCATTTTTTGTATGTGTGGGTGACCCTTGTCTGGCAGAGGGTCCCCTGCCGAGGGGTACTTCATCCTCTTGTAGTCTAGTTTATGTATTCGTGAGTATATGTGCCGTAAGATCCAGATCCATATATTCTATCATTAATACGTAGTAATAAAGAAACACTCCATATTTGATATCTACGGACTACTTAACTTTTCATACTCCGTATAACTTAAAAATTATAGACATTTCTTTCAAATAAACATTTCAAGGCCGTTTGGTAACACTATTTTTCGGCTTTTCGGGCTTTTTAGCCAACTTTTTCACCAAACACGTAATTTTTGTTTTCACACGCTAAATTGTATAATAATAAGAAAAAGTAAGTTTGCAGTTACTTTTCTGACTGTATTGGCTGAAGTTACTATAAATGACCATTTTAGCTATTTTACATATAATTTTTTTCTCTATTTTATTAATAAAATATATTTTAAAAACAATTTTTTCTTAAATCAGCAGAATCATCCAATGCAGCCACTTCAGCCAGATCTTCATAAATTTCAACAGAATCAGCCGAATCAGCAGATTTTCGTGTTACCAAACGGCTCTTCATGTTCGATGCAGTTTAACTTTTACATTGGGAAAGTCCGATTAATCAACCTGTTCTCCAAGCTAATCATGACCTCCAACCTGACTCTCCTGTGCAGACAACCAGTTTCATTTTTGCAATTAGATCTCAAAGTAATTTTCTTGTTGTCCAAACGGCGCGTTCTTCAAAATGACCCTTTCTTTCTCAATAAAATATGTGTAAGATCCTATAGCTCTTGTGCATGTACGAACTCCATTTTCCAGGATCGTTGACGCGTGGCTTGTTGCAACAACTATCCACTTTCTCTCATGCTATTCTTGCTTATTCAGATGTTGATCGAGCTGGATTTCCCGATAGCAGTCGATCAACCTTTTGAATTATTTATTTTTCTTTACCCTAGTTTGGTGGAGTCTGTATATGCTACACCCGGATGTATGTACATCCGGTCCAATTAAAATAGAAGCCCACTAACAGATCTAGCCCATAACACACCTGGCCCCATTTTTTACCGGGTAACATCGCTAACTGAAAACAAAGCCTCCGATTTAAACATATCAAAAATAGAAAAGTAACTTCTCTCAAAAACTGAACTGCCTTCTGAAATTTCTTCGAAAACGACGCAAGCATTCATACACGTCGTATTTAAGCTCGAAAAACGAGGACACCTCCAGACGTTTGTCTACTTCGCGGAGTTGTTCGTAGAGTTGGAGAGCAACGACAAGTGAAGAACAGAGGAAGAGTTTGAGCAGCAAGTTGTTTCTGTTTGAGCATTGAAGCGAGCGATGGACCTACTATCCGAGTATGAGATGATGAAGAACACTGATAAGCCTGAAACTGCAGAAGCATCAGAGAAGTAATATACGGTTGAAATTTCAAGGTTCCAAAAGCCAAAAAATAGATTAAAAAAGACTTCCAAGGTTCCACAGAAAAAGATGAAACCAAAAGCAATTCCACAAAAGGAAAAGGCTACCATGGACCTAATAAAAGAAATAGAAGTTGAGATAATAATGAGCGATGAAGAAGCAAGGGATGCAGAAGCAAGGAAGGCTACAACTAAGAAGACTGAGCATGTTGGAGAACAATCTGAGCAACAAGGAAAGGATACTGAGCAAGTAGGTATAGAAACTGACCAAAATCAGAATGTTGAAGAAACAAGGAATGCTAGAAGTAAGATGACTGAGCATGCTGGGGAAGAAGCTGAGCACCAAGAGAGGGAAACTGAGTACCAAGGGAGAGAAATTGAGCAACATGAGAATGTTGAAGAAACAACGAATGCTAGCATGAAGATGACTGAGTATGTTGAAGAAGAATTTGATTACCAAGGGAGGGAAACTGAGCAACATGAGAGTGTTGAAGAAACAGGGAATGCAAGCAGTAAGACCACTGAGGAGGTTGGTAAAGAATTTGAGCAACAAGGAAGGGAAACTGAGCAACTAAAGAGAGAAACAGAGCAACATCACAATGTTGTAGAAGCACAACAAGGCGCTGAACAGAGAAATACTGAGAAGAAAAGAAAGAGAAATAATGCAACCACACTTAAGAAAAGTGCAGAGCAAGCTAATTCAAGCAAAGAGAAAGAGGGCGAGGATGTTCGTCCAAAAAAAAAAAGAATTACAAGATCAACAACATCAGGAAGAACTGAAAAGAAGAAAGATGAAGTTCAAAAAAAGAAGAAAGAAGTTGATGCAGAGAATAAAAGAACAAGGCAATCAGAGTCATTAAAAGAGAAGAAACAAAAGATGAAGAAGAAAGCAAATGAAGAACAAGAAGAAGAATTTGAGGAGGACAAAGAGGAGATGGAGAAGCAAGAAAAAGATAAATACCCAAAGCTGTGGACAAGAATGTCTCCGAGTAGTTTGACAGAAATAATCAAAACTCTAAGTACAGAACAGAAGGAAGAGGTAGTTGAGATGGGATTTGGCCCCTTATTGAACCTTGAAGTGAAGCAATTGCCAATGCAGTTGGCATATTGGGTGGTGGAGAATTATGATAGCAGAAGTGTCTCTCTTCTTCTGCCAAACAATGTGAGATTGAGGATAAATGAAGATGCAGTGCACGTCACATTGAGGTTTCCAAAAGGAAATATTAATGTGAAGAATTTGATTGATACTGAAGCTGAGACTACATCACACATGGTTGTTGATTGGAGTTCGCAATTCGAGACTGAAAATGGAGTTGTGAAGATTGCTCAAGTGAAGAAGGTTATAGAAGAGAACAAAAAAGGTGGAGGATGGTTTAAAAAGAATTTTTTGGTTCTCCTGGTAACGAGTTTGATTGAAGTGAAGCAAAATTGCTTTGCCAATCAAAGCATTCTGAAGGCATTGGAGGATGATTCAAAAATTAAGAATCTGAATTGGTGTGGATACACATTGAAAACATTAATTGAAGCAAAGGACTACTGGAGCAAAAATAGAGAAAGACAGTTCCCAGGCCCTTTATTATTTCTGATTGTAAGTTACATATTCTATAATGTTATTGCTCATTTTTTTCCACACAATTACTCATATCATCATATACACTACACAATTCTAAAATTTCATAAAATATGTAGGTGTTCTATGTAGACAACATTGTGTTCAAAGGCATAAAAGTGGACAAAGCATTGTTATCTATTATTGGCTGGACAACTGGTGTGTAGCATATAATGGGCACACAACTATTTTTTTTACCCAAGGAAGTAGGGTGTCGAACCACAGAGAAGCAGCAAATAAAATAATTAAGCACAAACTAAGGATTAAAGTTGGGAATGCGTTCTTTTGATTTTTGGTTTGCTTGAAAAAGTAATAAAATAAAAGTGATTGAGATGAGAGATTTTTATCAACACAAAGTTCAACCAATAGTAAGTAGGGGTAGAAATTGGTAACTAATTGTTCAATGTTTAATTGAAAGAAATAATTGCTAATTTTATTCGTAGATAGATTGTGAGAAGTTGTGGATAAATATTTTAGGACCCAACACAAGTCATCTAAAATAAGTAACTAGTCAACATTTCCCAGTGATGGCCAAAACGAGACTAGTTGTTTAAGTGCAACGACAACCTTAATTATTAACTATATTATTTACCCAACCCCATGGTGTAAATAATATAATTAAATAATTAAATTCTTCCGTAAAACTTCAATCCGGGACAAGGTAAAAGAAGTTTAACGGTGTGTTCAGAAAGTGTTCATTTGTGTATTTAACAAACAATATGTTTATGATTGAGTGCTCATAATATATATCACAAACATAACATAATTAATTTTCTAGACACAACAATCTAAATAGAACAAACTTAACAATTAAAATCAATACAAATTAAAACATGATAAGAACAATTAATTAACCAATTTCTAGCCCCAAATTTATTTAGCTATACATGTTGGGAAGCTTAGAAATAGATGAATTCATGATTGAAGTACAAGATTTAAAGAGATAAGGAAGATCAAACTTGTGATAGATGACAATCCTTGGAGCTTGGTGCTAATCTTGACTTTAATCTTGATTGAGAAAGTGATTAGTTGATGTTGAAGATTGGTTGATGATTTGGAGATGAAGAATGAAGAGAGGAGGAGGAGGAAATGATTCTGGGAGGTGTAGAGAGAAGTTGGTTCGAGATTATGTTTGGAGGGAGATGGATTAAGGCAATATAATGATAAGGTGATTAATCATTAATCATTTACGGAACCAAAGAATATATGTACAAGAAAACGCATCCAAGGACCAATAATGTGTAGCAGTGCAGCGGCCATCGAGAGCTATTGTGACACAGAGGTTGAGGGTTTGAACCCGTGCTTAAACTTGTTTTTTTTCTTCTTTTCATTGCTGAGATGAGATGCAATTAAATAAATCTCCAGCTCACGTATCTCAACTTTGACATTCAGCTCACTGGTTCAGGAGGCCTCTTTTTACCTTAGCAACTTGGGTTCGAATCTCACCTCCACTTTTTGCACTTTTTGCTTCCTTTGCTTCAATGTACTCCATATTTGCTTTGAAGGAGATTCCACTTTTGTTGTCTTTCAACTTGAACTTTTATTTTCTTCTCTTCTTCACACTCAAATGTATCCAAATAGCATCAAATGTACCTGAAAATATAAAATACCCGTATAGAACCGCACTAAGACAAACTAACATCAAATACTAAAAATATGTACAAAGATACAACTTTATTAACTAAGATTAACAACAAACTAAGCCTAAAATGTGTGTAAAATATAAGTATATCAACAACACAAAAGATGAACAAAAGACAGAAGGAAGAAATTGAAACTGGAGGTTTTGGATACGGATATA